AACTGCACAATAAACTTCAAGAAGGTATATTTTAAAGCCGGCCCCAACCGACAATATCGATAGACGACTAAGGCAGCAGCAGAGACGAGTAAACGTGGTGGAAGCAAACTAGAGGGACGAAAAATCAATTTACCTCGTGCGGAGAAGCAACAACACCTGGAAACAACAGCCAGCGTTATTAGACAGCCGGAGAAGGAACAGTTGCAGGTGGCGCTCCGTATATGTAAGTAGGCAAAACCACGACCGGCCGAAGAGGTCGTTCAACGGCAAAAGATTAGGAATAGTGATTTATTCGAATAGCGCACTTAGCTTTGCGAAATTAACTAGAGCTAGTTTATGTTATTTTATGTAATAAGTTGAAAACGATAAAACGCTTGCAAAGCTCAATTATATTTTCGGCAAGACAAATTACCATAATATCGAGATTGTAATTCGAAACTCGCGTTGTTTTCAAAATTTGCACAAATCTGGCGTTGAAAAGAAATATTTAGGTTACAAGCGCTTCGAAATACTGTACCTCCAGAAGGGTATAGCTTTTACTGTGTTGTGCTGTATCTTTCAAAACCATCGACAGAGATTCCAACCTTCCTGTTTTTGCCCTGTTTTGGGCAAATATTTCCGACATCCATTTATTCTCCTGAAACCTCCCTTTTTTAGTAGGACTGTACCGAAACAAACGTTGCGCTTACATGACATAAACGACAGCTCAAAAATACATTACGCGAGAAGTTCATTACCTTCTTACACACAGGCGTGACTGGTTTCTTTCGTAGCTTAGAAATACGACAAACGTAACATCTCCAGCTGGCGTAGAAAATGGCGATGCAGAATTTCCTGAAAAAAAAAAATGGAGCTGGGCCAAGTAAAAGGAGGCGAGGGGAAGGGGGTGGAGAAAGAATGGTGATGGACGGTTGGCACACAGGTCTAACGGAGAGTCGGAGACCAACGCCTGGGAGTAAACACAAGCCGCCATCTTTGTATCATTGAATTCGCTGGTGTGTTTTCAGGGACCGCGGAGCAAGGTGAAAAGTGGGAGGGCTGACAATTGAAAATAATTTTTCAATAAACGACCAACATATACGGTCAGTTCAGATTCAATGCAAGAAAAGACGCGATTACAATTTTAGTATAGAAAATACTACGCTGAAGTGATCTGAAAAATTTCTAACTATGGCCGTTCACTAGGCTTTGGTAGATTGTGCTAGCATAATTTTAAGCATAATTCAGCAAAACGAGCATTATTTTAAGCTTTTATTTCAGTTTAGCACTGCTAGCATAATCCGAGCTTTTATGCGTTGAAAACAAAAAACCCATCATAGCTCTAGAACAATCCAATTTGTATTTTATTTCTGCAGTGTATTTGGAAAATATTGAGGTCTGTGCTAAGGCCCATGGTCAAATATGGTCCGGCAGGCGGAAGAGGTTACCCTGTGCATATCTGAGAGACTGAGACTCTCCTCAGGCCACCACGTTTATGGCTCGGCGGCTCGGCCCCTCAGGCCTCAGATCAAAGATGGCGTCGTCTTCGAGTACATCCACTTCCACCACTTCCAGTGCCGTACCGAGAGCTTTAATCTCTAGAGAACGTGTTCGTAAAAGTAATACCGGAAAGTACAAGGAAAGAGGTAACTCAGATCCAAAGAACATGAGTCCTCGTGATCGAATCGAAGAATTCCCAGGGGAAAATTTGTGTCTTCGAGGTGGAAAACACAGAGATTAACAATATGCATAGTTGTCTTTATAGTGAACTGAGGGCTTTGCCTGGATGGCGTCTAAAACAAGTATGCAGGCTATAACTTTCTGACCCGGATTCAGAACCTAGAAACGGTTGATTTTGGTATCATTTGTTAATCATTTTGTCTTTTCGAGGTGCCCACATGCGTATTTGCGATGCTAAAGATTGTAAGACTGGAAGGTGGACTATATAAATGTTCATTATAGTCAAAATTGATAGAGTTAAGCTACTGATGATCTTTATTTTCCTTAAACTCATCAGTGTGAAAACTAAGTAGCATAATTTCGGTGACAGAGAGCATAATTTTCAGAAAGTAGCATAATTTCTAAAAAATATGAGCACTGCTAAAAGCATAATATGCTTTTTTTTCGAGCACAATCTACCAAAGCCTACCGTTCACTGTTCAAGTAATGTAATTCTTCTTGCCATCGAATATTTCATTGATTCGAAAGGAGAAAGACAAAATAGAAAACTTTTATCAACTCAAAACAACTACTCAGCTTCTTTTGACTTGAAAAAGCTAGTAATTTTCTTCATTTCGTCTGATAAAACTGATAAAAAAAAACTCTGCCGGAGCTGGAAGTACAAAACACGCTGCCGAACGAAGCGAAGGGGTGGCCAAGGCATGGCGTTTGATCAAGGGGCAAGTCGCTCCCAGGGAACAATTACCGCGAAAAGCACAGGAGCCCCACAAAATGCCTGGCGTTTGAAATTAAAGAAAATACAGAGAATATAGCGGAATATAGACGGAAAAAAACTTGTTTCAAGTCTTTTTTTTATTTTAATTATTTTTCTTTTTAGCGCAAAAAGTGGGGGCGGGGGCGCAAACAAGTGGTAGGGCCGCGGCCCTACCAGCCCCTCCTCCTCCGCGGTCCCTGGTTTTGAATGGCGACCTTTAGCAATGAAGACGAGAACGAGGACGAGGACTGGTATGACCGATTGGGGCCTGGAACGAGAACGTCGTCCACGGCGGTATTTCGGCGGGAAACAAAAACTTTTAGCAAACCGGTTTCGGTACGTGGACGAGTCTCTTCCTACAGTGAGTCACCAGGGAAAATGTCTTTCAAAGAATTTAGTGACCTCCTTGTACTTCTCTACGGCGATGAAATTATTTCCGATGAAGAGTTTTTGCTACTTTACGATAGTTTCATCTCAAAGAACCAAGATTTTCCCCATGAAAACTATCAACGGTTTGATTTGGATTCTATGAACTCCGCGGAGTGCAAAGCAGAGTTTCGTGTCGAGAAACACGATCTCCCTCGCCTTGTTGCAGCCCTCCAACTACCACCGGTGTTTAAATGCGAACAGAGGAGTATTTGCGACGACATGGAAGGCGTATGCATACTCCTCAAATGAGTTGCCTACCCATGCAGACTCAGTGATCTGATTCTGCGATTCGGCCGACCGGTTTCTGTTATGAGCCTGATCTCAAATGATGGCATCGACTATATTTATGACGTTCATGGGCACCGTATAACACAATGGAATCGAGATCTTCTGAATCCTGGGGCTTTGCAGCGTTATGCAGAAGCTATATCAGGAAAAGGAGGCCCCCTTAACAACTGTTTCGGTTTTGTAGATGGAACGGTCCGACCCATTTCAAGACCAAATGAGCGTCAGAGAATTGTGTACAATGGCCACAAGAGGGTCCACGCGTTAAAATTCCAATCCTTTTCCCTACCAAATGGACTTATTGGCAACCTATTTGGACCAGTTGGTGAGTTTGTAATAAAACGTTAGTGTTTTAAAGTTAAACAACCCTTCCCCCCCCCGGAAAAAAATTCTCTTCTCATGTTTGATTTTATTTTCGTTTCTAGAGGGGCGTAAACACGACGCAGGGATGTTAAACGATTCTGGACTACTGCGGGACCTTCAAGCTATGTGCATTTATGGAGATTTGGCCTACCCTCTCCGAGTTCATCTCCAAACACCGTTCCGTCGTGTCCCACTTACACCCCTCATGCAGGATTACAACGAGTCTATGAGCGCTTCACGGATTTCTGTAGAATGGTTATTCGGTGACGTCATTAATTCTTCTAAATTTCTCGATTATAAAAAGAATTTGAAGATAGGCCTTAGCAGCGTCGGTAAAATGTATGTTGTCTGCGCACTTCTCCGTAACGCCATTACATGCCTTTATGGTAATAACACCAGTGATTATTTTGGTATTGAACCCCCTTCCCTGGAGCAATACTTTCAATGAACTATAGTCTAGCTGTACTGATTTTAATGATGTATTTTCTCCTTCCTGGATAATATTCAGTGTAATTGGATGTAAAATAAAGACTGTAGGAAAGAAGGAATTATACTTTAAAAAAGCACCTTCAACGTACAGGAAGAAATTAAAAGAAAACGACACCCATGCAAGTTTTGATTTATGTGGTTGCTATGGAAACGCAAATGTCACATAAACATGATAATGGCACAAACGAATATTTCCAGATCAATTTGGTGCCTATAGATCAATCCATCAAAAAGTTAAAAGATTCATTCAAAGACCCCCCCTACCCACCGCCTTCATAGCCCTAAGCTTAAAAGGAATATATAAATAATTCCAGAGCCGGACACTGAGCAATAATATGCTAATGTTTCAAAAGAGTACTGAAAAGGGTATGTGTATTTTATTCTTATTTCAATGTTTTGCTCAACCTATGGTTAAACATCCTAACACTAACGTTCTAAAATTTCAAAGGACAGCTTAATTTAACCCTTTCACTCTTAGCTTCAACTGTGTATCTTTGATCACTGTAAACACTGCATTAAGAAAATTCCTTTCTCCAGAGGTGTAAACAACCCATCAACCTTTGAAGTCGAGGTGAAGGAAAACTAATCACCAAGCTGGACAGGCAAAGTCAACAGAAAAAAAAAGAGACAAAATTATAATTGGAAAATAATCAGTTAAAAATTATGATAACAACAACATGGCTCTAAAGGGCTGAGAGGGCCAAAGGTTGACAATTTGATTTTCAACTTTTGTTTTGCCTTTGTCAGCTCTTATGAGGATTTGGGCATTACTTTTTCAAGTAAACTCATTAACATTTGACTCTGTTGTTGTTGCTGCTGCAGGAAAAGCATTTGAAAGTTCTGTAGCTGCTGTTCCTGCCTCTGCTGCTGTTCAGCCATCATCTTCATTACATCTTGGTACTGTTGCTGGTTCTGCCTCTGATGATCTATCAGCATTTGATGCTGAGCTACTTTATTTTCTTGCTCTTTCTTCCTTCCATTTCTTCCTTCCGGAATTCCTTCTCATTCTCAAATTTTTCTTTTAGAATTTGCACAGCTTCAGTGGTACTTCTTCTGCTTTTTGGTTTGATAACTTCATCACATGAATCAGCATTCCTCTTTTTTGTTTGGCCCAGGCGCTCCAAGGCTTCAACCTACTTTCTTCGGCTGACGCCTTGTCGTTTTCATGCTTCTTGGTAAGAGTGTTCGTGTTTTCTTTCCTTTCTAAATCAGCTGCCTGTTCCTTTTCTATGATTTCAAACAATGCTATCCCCAATTCTGTTTCCTCGTCACATTTCATGCCAGAACCCTGCTCTTCGTTTCTCACCTTTTCTTTGTACTTCCTCAACAAAAGTGTGAGCCTGTCCCTAACAGACCGCTTTCTTACAGTGAATTTGGGTACACTGAGCCCATTTAAGTTTTGTGCTATTTCTCCCCTGATTTCCTCTCTCTCTCTACTTTGCTTTGGGTGCTTGAATGGTTCCATGACAAGAACTTCTCTGCATAGCATGAGATCGTGCTCTTCTGACCACTTCATGGAATAATTTCTGAATATAAAGTGCCAATAATTATATTTGCACAGTCAGTGTTAATACTGGTAAGCTTACAAACTTTTGATTCCATATTCATTGCCTAAAACGATTTCTGTGCTGCAGTAAAAATTATTTGTAAATAAACTTTTTTTTCGAGGTGAAAATCAGTACAGCGTAAAACATGACTGTAGAACTATTTAAAAAATCTTCATGTGCAAAAATTAACGACTACAAAAACTTGGCTTTGAGAGGGCTTTTATATCAGCAAAAAAGTGAGCTAAGCTCATTCAGAGTTTAGCTAAGGTGGATTCTTACCTCAAATGTATTTAAACGAATAGTTTAGACGTTCAAAGACGAACAAAACTTCATAACAATCCTGACAGGATTGATTACAAAACTGTTATCAAACGCGGTTTAAATAATACAACTTACATTTAAAAAAGCGCTTGAAACTTACCCTGATGTTCCTGCTGTATCCATCACTTCTTTGACCGAGTGCAGTCATACTAAGACTGTCAAATTTTTCCTGCAACATCGAAAAAATGAGGGTTTTTTACTTCACAGCAACATGAATAACTACGGCTTCTGTCTTATCTACTAAGAAAAACCTTGGGATTCAAGAAATTGCAAAATTAAGTCAGAAAATATAAGAAAATAAGTCAAGCAACACTCACGTTCACCACAGGACGGCAGATTGCGGCAAATGGTGTCCTCAACGAGGTGTGGACGACGAGCTCGTGCTCGTTTGGGCATGCGTGGTAGCATCATGGTTCGTTTTCCAGCTTCCGGTAGTTTTTTTTTTTTTTTTGTAATTTATTAATTTTTATTTGAAGTTTTCATTTTACAGAGTACACTTAAAGTAAAAAGGAAAAACAAACAAAAGAACAAAACAAAACAAAAACAAAAAGACAAAAAAAAACAAAGAAAGAAAGAAAGAAAAAACTATTACAGCAGACAATATCTAAGTTAATAGAGAGTACTTATCTTTATATTTATGTACAATATTTAATTGTTAATTAGATTACATTTTCTTGATTAACGTTTCCCACTTACTAAGACGTTTATTTAATGTGCCTCTTTTCCTGGCAATGTAAAGTTCAACGTTGTACACACGCCTAGTCCTATCAATGAACCCCTGAAGGGAGGGCATACCCTTTTGACATTTTTGTGAATAAATATAGTACTTCCCAAGCAATAAAATATGATTAACTAGGAGGAAATCATCTCCAACATCAAATTTACCGACGATTATATCCTCTTCTCTTAAATTCTCAACAATAATATTATTGTCTCTTAGCCAGGACAAGACGTGTTTCCAAAAAACAGAGGATATTTTGCAGGAAAAAAGTAAATGCTCGATGGATTCGACCTCAGTTTGGCAGAAAACACATTTATCTGATTCAGCCACACCAAAACGAAAAAGTTTCTCATTCGTAAAAGCGATGCAGTTTAGTATTTTGAACTGAAATTCCCTAAGTTTTGTTTCTACTGTTGTGCCGAAGGACAATAAGTAAACTCTTTCCAGTCAATAGTTAAATGATGATACTTTGCAGATAGCTTCTCTTTAGCGGTAGGTGTGGTTTGTTTTTTGGCCAAAAAAGACCGATAAATGTGCTTTGAAGAAGGGTCAAGAATTGGAATTAAGATATCATTTATCAAAATAGCGTGGTCAAGAATGATATTAAAGTCCCCAAGCCAACTAAAAACAGCTTTCCGCTTTTCAAAAGTGCGAATCCCACGAACGTTTAACGACAAAAGATTGAACTCGTTATTGCGCCCCATATTGCCAGAAAAAGTAGGACCTAATTTGGCGGGAAAAATTTATCAACACATTTACAGCAATCTGACACTCAAAGAAATTCTTCATTGACGTGCTGCGATAGCTTTGAATAACAGAAAATGAAAGAAAAATGATCACGAAAACGAAAACAAAAATAATAGAGTACAACCACTTTTAAGTATTAAAATACTGATACAAACAATTAAAAGAGCAGCAAGATAACTATCTCGAATGCTGAGCTCTGGAATGGACCTAAGTAAAGTTGTTTGAGATTGCATGTTTGCGTACGACACCAAAAAGCTTGGTTGAGCTTTAGAGACAGTGATTCGGAAATAAAGTTTTAAAGTGAATGTACTTAACGCCTACAAACAGATTACGAGGAAATTATATGCAAATACATGACTATTTGAGAGCAGAGTGAAAGAAAAGCTCCGATGAGAGTATTATATTTACATGTACATTTTTATCTCTGGACATGTGTGAGAGCGGTGCTCGAACCTAAACAAAATCTGTCAATGCAGCATTTGCAGGGATAAATTTACCATTAACAAATAACTTATCTGGTTGCGCTTTGCTGAAATATACTGTACAGCCTTTGCCTCTAGCTTCCTTGAACTTTTTCATCTGACTTTTCCATATTTCATAAAGTTCTTTTGGTATATCGTCAAACACTGAAAATTGTTTGTCCTCTTGACTCTTTAACTCCTTGCGGGCTTGATCCATCACCATTTCCTTGTCCGAATATCGTAAGAAACGTGCGATAATTGGGCGAGGTTTGTCACTGCTGTTGTTAGGCTTTACCAATCGATGGACTCTTTGGAACTCGATTCTACCACGAGGGTTTTCAATACGAAGCTTGTTTTCCAGGAATTTGAACACTAAATCTCTTGTATCCTCGGGTGGGGAGTCAACTGCAGAAGCCGGCACTACTTCGTCAATCCCAAAGAATTTAACATTTTCTCTTCTTGATTAGGTTTCTAGATACAATAACTGCTTGCGATGATCATTTATTTCAAACTTTGACTCCTTTGACTCTTTCTTTAGGTCTGAGATGTCGTCTTCGTAGAACTGGATACTTTCTTCCAATTCGGACGCTTTCTTTTCCACTCTGTTTGTTTTTTGCTTCAGGTCTTGTACATCCACAGGAAGAACGCTTTCATTTTGGTGTCTTTAGTGAAAAATTAAAGCTCACCAAAAGTTCTGTTCCATCTTTAATTACCTTTAATTGTGACATTAAATTTCCGAAAGGTTTTCTGTCCCTTTAGTTTACCTTTAATTGACCTTTCGGTTACATTAAAGACTAATAACCTTTAGGTCTCGTTTTAATTGTCTTTAATTTATTCCAAAATTAGCTATTAAAATGTAGCACCTTTAATTTCAAATTAAAGCAAATTTAAATGATCTTAGATCTTTACTCATCTTTAATTTGAACTTAAACATTCGTAAAAGTAACGCAGAAAGAACGCTTGTATTTCAGAGTCTTTAATTACTTAATTAAAGCTTAACAAAACATCTTTGTGATTCTTGAAACTTAATAATTTCAAGTGACATTAAGTTGACCTTTTGGGTCAAGACAAACCACGTGCACTCGCTCGCTCGCGTGAGGAAACCTGACTACTCTATATGGCAACCCAATCAGCGTCTAAAAAACAAATTCTATCCAGGAGGACCCTCGGCGTTTATGCCAGTCCAAAGGATATTTTCAAGATTCGCCTCAGCTGAAGTGGATGTAGAGGGACAAAAACAAGTTGTGATGGCTCCCATCAACAGGAATGTTCAACTGTAGTAACAATTGTTGCAAAGCTCATAAGAAAAATCCAGAACACACCCAGGCCTTTCATTTGACGCTTTACAGTATAGCTGAGTAAAAAGTGGCAAGATGATTTCTTCTTTTACATACATATAATTATTAGCATCGTTTGAAACTAATGAATAATACTACTAACAAAAAGTTTAACTGGTGTTATCATGAATTGCTTTTTTTATTCTCTTTTTGTCACACAATGTCGCTGAAAGTTCATCTCAGTACCAAAGCAGTAACTGTGAATTCCTGAAAGAAAACTGAAAAAAGTCTTTTCGCCTGATATCGGTGGACACTCCATCGCCTGCTGCATAACCCTGTGTCAAAGAAAAAATAAAACCTCACATCATAATGGTCAAAACTCTAGAAAGCTACGGCTACTGTCATTGAAAGCACCATTAATTTTGTGTGCAATTAGTCATTCAAGTGATACAAAATTTGCTGCTTAATATGTGTTGACTGGAAAAGGTGCAGAAACTCAAAGATCTGACAAAAAGCTGTCATTCGCATTCTGCACCATAAGCAATAAAATCTCACATCAGAATTGTTGAGTCCCTAGAAAGCTATGGCCACTGTCATTGAAAGCACCATGTTATTCAAGTAACACAAAATCTGCTGCTTAATATGTGTTCACTGAAAAGGGTGCAGAAACTCAAAGATCTGACAAAAAGCCGTCACTCGCATTCTGCACCATAAACAATAAAATCTCACATAATAATTGTTAAAATTCTAGAAAGCTATGGCCACTGTCATTGAAAGCACCATGTTATTCAAGTAACACAAAATCTGCTGCTTAATACGTGTTCACTGGAAAGGGTGCAGAAACTCAAAGATCTGACTAAAAGCCGTCACTCGCATTCTGCACCATAAGCATAAAAACTCACATCACAGTCACTGAAAGCACCATGTCATTCAAGGAACACAAAATCTGCTGCTTAATATGTGTTCACTGGAAAGGGTGCAGAAACTCAAAGATCTGACTAAAAGCCGTCACTCGCATTCTGCACCATAAGCAATAAAATCTCGCATCACAATTGTTAAATCTCTAGAAAGCTATAGCCACTGTCATTGAAAGCAACATGTCATTCAAGTAACACAAAATCTGCTGCTTAATATGTGTTCACTGAAAAGGGTGCAGAAACTCAAAGATCTGACAAAAAGCCCTCACTCGCATTCTGCACCATAAGCAATAAAATCACACATCATAATTGTTGAATCTCTAGAAAGCTATGGCCACTGTCATTGAAAGCACCATGTTATTCAAGTAATGCAAAATCTGCACCAAAAGCAATAAAATCTCACATCACAGTCATTGAAAGCACCACGTCATTCAAGGAACACAAAATCTGCTGCTTAATATGTGTTCACTGGAAAGGGTGCAGAAACTCAAAGATCTGACAAAAAGCTGTCACTCACATTCTGCACCATAAACAATAAAATCTCACATCAAAATTGTTAAATCTCTAGAAAGCTATGGCCACTGTCATTGAAAGCACCATGTTATTCAAGTAATGCAAAATCTGCTGCTTAATATGTGTTCACTGGAAAGGGTGCAGAAACTCAAAGATCTGACTAAAAGCCGTCACTCGCATTCTGCACCATAAGCAATAAAATCTCACATCACAGTCATTGAAAGCACTACGTCATTCAAGGAACACAAAATCTGCTGCTTAATACATGTTCACTGGAAAGGGTGCAGAAACTCAAAGATCTGACTAAAAGCCGTCACTCGCATTCTGCACCATAAGCAATAAAATCTCACATCACAGTCATTGAAAGCACCACGTCATTCAAGGAACACAAAATCTGCTGCTTAATATGTGTTCACTGGAAAGGGTGCAGAAACTCAAAGATCTGACAAAAAGCTGTCACTCGCATTCTGCACCATAAACAATAACA